ATCAGGAAGTGGTAAACCTTTGTTTACAATCTATTCAAATTCATACTTATAGGCCTGAGCTTTTTTCCTTCCCAAATGTAGCATCTACCCCACTATAAAGTTTGCAACTACTTAAACAAGCAAATAGATGAAATAAACAGATGAACAAATACTGAAATGTCATTTTCAGCTATTTGTGTAATTGAGGTTTTTACATGCACTTTTTGTGTTTTTGGCAGGGGAGCTGATCCGTTCTCTTAGGAAAGGAAAGAAAGGAAAGAAATATTCTAAATGAGATCTCCTCTTAATCTCACGTACTTCTTCTAGACATGGTTAAGTCTGGTTTGGAAAGTGAAACTTTTCTCCTGTTGCTCAAATTTGGCTTCTAAGAAACATCCCTCAAATTTTCTCATTTTGATTAAAATATTGTCACACATATGGATTAACTCTTTTGTCGCTGACTCATCTCACCCCAGTGGTGGCTGACTAATATTTCCATAAAAAAGTTTTCTAATACAGCTCTATTCTATATCACAAAACTCTCAGCCATCTATAAGTGTAGAAAGAAGGGGGGGGGGTTGTTTAAGAGAAAGAATTCAGACATAGTGATTCTTCATAAATACAATAATGAGATCTACTCTATTTCTTTATTTCTTCTAAAGAATTTTTTGCCCCTCTGGGTGTGGCTTTAATGGTAAAAAGAACTATTAGGTATGCACGATCAGAATCAGCCAAGATCAGAATTAGCAGATATTTGCTCAAAACACGCAATCAGCGATTCATCAATTTATTCTTTTTGTTTATGTCCAACCTATGCTCCCACTGGTCCACTTGCAGTGTATCTGAATGCTGCTGCTACATGTGCGTCAATTTTCATAGCATAACTATGCCTGACTCACTTGGTAAACAGCCAGTCGCCTCTTTTTAACTTTCAATGCACTTTATTTGAATCATGTTATTTAAAAAATTCAACAGATGTTTCATTTACAGATTTAAAATGCCAGTCTGGCCCACTGAAGTGCAAATAATGTTAGTCATGTTGCAACTTTGGCTAACAGCAAGTCCAGGAAATGCGCTAGAGTCTTTCACTGGTTCATTTAGTCCGCACAGTAAGCTTCAGGTTAAAAAAAAAAAAAGTCATGATTAGTGCATCCATAGTAATTATAACCAATGCAACCACAGTCCTTTTTAATAATATGTGATTATTAGGACAAAGGATCATCTAGGTTATGTGTATTAACTATTCACATGGTTTAAGTTAATGAAGCTAGGTACACTCAATAATATCAGAATCATATCAGTGAGGGCAGATAACCGCTTAAAAACATTAAAAAATACTGAGCATCAAGCAGATTTTTAGTTTTGACACTTTAAACTGATATTTGATGATACATTTGTTTAATTTTAAGGCTAATTTATTAAAATATCAACATTTCATAAATTGCACTGCATTTGTAACCGTAGTGTTTTTCCAGACTGATGTAGTCTCAATTTCTATACTTCATAAACGCTTATGTACCTGCATTAGTATTGGCAGATCAGTGTGAAAAATACTGGATATCTTCATTCTCATGTCAGTGCATCCCTGGCCTTTTTCTGCTTTAAAGTTTTCAACTGTAACAGCCCAGCAGCCACTTGCAATATCTGCAAAGCTGATATTTTTAAACTAGGTTAAGCTTGCCACCTTTTATGAACACACAGTTAACCAAGCCATACATAAAATTCAAATGTGCAGCAATTATGCACTTAGAGATGAGTTCAAAGGTGAGAAATAAAAGAGCGCATGTTAGACAAACCAGAACACAGTACTGCATTCTGTACTGTCTACAAAAATACAAATATCAAAGTCAGACTCTGTATCAGCCGAACAACATCAGAAGGGCAAAGAACTGGGACATTCCTAGCTTCTTTAGCTCTTTAACACATCAGATTTTAGAGGAAGCAACTGGCAAGGCAACGTGTTTCAATGCTCTGAGTATGATTTAGTCAAAAGATCTCTTGATCATCCGTCGCAAACACACAAAGAACTCTGTGTGTGTGTGTGCATGCTGTCACACTCAGTGCCTCCATTGTGCCCTTCAGCAAAGCACTTAAGCTCAACCTACAGCAGAGCTGCTACATCAGGGAACCCCAACCATACACACACACTTCCCCTACGGCCTTGCAATGTTCTCACTGGCGACTTCAATGCACTTTCCCTGATAAAACAAAAAGCCTTTGTGTTTTAAAGGGCCCATATCCTACATTTCCCATGTATTTTATGTTTTTCCTTGAGGTCCCCTTATGTCATCTGTGTTGGCTGATGTACCAAAAAGAGTCATAATTTATTTTTACATATTTATTTTCCAGCTTCTCTGTATCATTTAGAATTAAACAGACTCTTTTCTTTGTTGTGTCTTTAAAACTACACATACAGTACTGTGCAACAGCCCACCCTTTATTTATCAAATTTCCAGCCAAAGCAGCCATTAAGAAAAGGTTCTAAGGAGATAAAATGTACGATAAATGAGTAAATAAGTGAAAAACAAAAGGTGCCAAAACTGGAGATCTGAAGATGTTTGGGATTATTTGGATTGTGAGAAGCAGAAAATACACTCAAGTTCTAAGACCGAACTTTGCAGATGTGGAAAAAGAAAAAGAATGTGCGTAGGTATGATGTACATACACTGCTAGAAATAAAGGTTCTGTGCAGGTACATCAAAGTTCATCAAGGTACAAACAATGTAAATGTACTCTCAAAGGTACAACGGTGGTTTTAAGGTCCAGTTGTGCAGTTTTTCCCAGGTGAAAAATACATATTTTTACCTTATAACTTAAAGTTTTAAAATAGAACAATAAAATAAAAAGCCTAGAGACAAGACAGGGTGTGTGGAGTCAATACAACTTTCAATGCCATTTTTGAAAGGATTATGGTACAATTATGTTCCCTGACTAAAGGAACTCAGATGTACTTGTGAGGGTACCACCCCAGTGACAAGAGGGGTACTGCCCCAGTGATAGGTTCATACCTTTTTTTCTGAGAGTGTACTACATCAAACATTTATTTAAGAAAGCGAGGAAAATTTGTTTTTCCATGATGTAAGCCCTTTAAATGAGCATGCTGTTTATGTTGACCGGACTGCTACAGACCTTCCCTTTCCTGTTCACACACTCACACAGACACACACACCCCTCTGCAGGAGCACAACATTTGGGAATATCCTGCCCTACGTAACTACACTGTAAACTGTTGTTTGGCCGACGTCCGGTTCCTTTGGTGCTTCCCCGAAATGTACTGAAGTGTTCAGACTGAGTACAGGAGAAACAATGTAAACAAAACTGACAGCAGCAATGCGGTGCTCAACGCTAATTCCTCTTTTTTAGCACTGAGGGAGCTTGATGGGAATTCCTTAACCGGTTGCCACCATGCTCAATAATCACCATTTAACTCAGTCAATTTTATTGACCAACTAGGCTTTCCCAAAGAGGGCACAGTGTGGCAATATTTCGGTAGATTTCTGCTTTTATTATTTTAGTTTACTGGATTCAGCTTTATGGACTCACTATACACCAACGCTTACTATATGCCGCATGCCTCTTATTCCAGTCTTCTGTAATTTGATTTCATTTGAAACAACTTGTTTACCTTGGCATGCCTGTTGCATATTAACATATAATATTGAAAATAAAATTTATCTTGTCGATCTGTGCGCACACACACTTGATTCAGCTCATGTTAGTTAACTGATAAGTGGAACTGGGTGTAGCAGAGAAAGCCTTAAATCGGAGAAAAAAAAATATATACTCATTCGAAAACTGCCTAAATATGCACTTCCAAATGTTCACCACTAGATGGAGATGAATGCATTTGTGCGTCTAAACTTGGGCCTTGCCCACCTTTGGATCAACTTTTACCAGAAATACTAATCATCACGAATATGAAACCTAGCAAAGTAAACGTCCTCGTTAGATTATGACATACATTCCATAATGGGTATTGTACAAACAGTAGTGGGAATAAATAGGACTTAACAGAGAGTCAAGGCAGGTAGGTGATGATGTAATTCTACCGTGGTAAATTCCTATATTGCACAAATGGAGTCTACTTATGACGAAAGACAAGCTCTGAAACAGTCATTCAGTTGTAACCTTTACTGGGAATGATCCTTGACCTTTTAACTGAAATGTTTCCAGTCTCATCATAGGTGTGAAGGACAGGCTGGGGTGCTAAAATCACTGTCAGTGCGAAAACAGGGAGATGAATATAGTCTGTATGAAACTAGAGGAGCAGGCGTCACTCATCACACAGCTCAAACGTGAAACTAGCACTGGCCCTGACTGCCCTCTGGAAGAAGAACAGGGTATTATGGACAAGATGGACAAGGTCAGGGACGGGTCAGTGGAGAGAGAGAGAGAGAGAGAGAGAGAGAGAGAGAGAGAGAGGAGAAAGACAGAGAGCAAGTGGAGAAAAAGAGAGGTGAGAAAGCAAAAAAAAAAAAAAATTGAGGGAAAGGAGAAAGAAAGAGAGTAAGAGCAAAAGTGATGGGGGAAGAAAAAAGAGAGAGATACAGATAGACAAACAGACAGATAGTGAATGGTTCCTGCTTGACATTTACATTAAAAGTCAGTGGGAAAAAAATCTAACTGCTCTCCCTCTCTCTCTCATATAAACTGTTTTTAGGCACTAAATCCCACATCCAATTTTGCTTTCTCCAAAAAACTCCAATCCAATCGCCACGCTCAAATACCCTCAAAAGCGGCCCATCTGCCATCTTACTTCACCTCTGCTCATAACAAAAATATTCACTGCCGCTTCTTATGTAAGAGTTTAGATAAAATGCTATTATACAACACTGGAAAAGAATACAAACACAAAAGTCTTGCTCATCATAAGCAGGACTGACCGCTCTATGGCCTTTATTATTCATTTATTTTCTGCAAAAAAACGTTGCTTTGAGCATAAAATACTTCCCTTTTCACGTCCAAAGCATGGACTGTAGGATGCATGGAAATGTCATATTTAGACGGCCGCTCACTCTTACCCCAGGCAGCAGGCCCTCAGGTGGTGTAGGAGAAACAGCTTCACCGTCAGGCCGAACACACAGCTGTGGGGACATAGTGGGTGACTCATCAATGAAGGGCATCGTCTCTGAGCCATCCTGAGACTTCCTGTCCTCCGCACCGTCCCCCTCATAACCATCCGTGTTGTAGTTAAAGTCTGCAGGTCAGCAAAGAAAGAGAAAGAGATGTTTAACCATTCAAACTTAGGGTGGGCAAAAGGGAAAATACATAAATTTGTCCAAATCTGTCTTGTTTATGATACATGTAGTTGTTCTACAGATACACTAGCAATAACCATGATATACTCAGGATAATGACACAATGAAAATGATACATAATGATATCACATTGCCCACCCCTAATTTAAACTGGCCAAAAACAGTAGAGTGAGAGGGCTGCACTATGACTCTGAACAAATGCTATACAGGCCTGCACTAAAGCACATAAACTGAAGCTCTGGTGGTCACTCATAGGACAGAACGTAAATTCAGTAACAATTCCATTTATAGCTTAACACTTCTACTGAATAGCCGAATATTTCATGGCCCACAATCTATACAGCAATATTTATGACACGCGGTATGAAAGATCTACGTAAGCCCATAGGATCTCTACAATATTTAGCATGGTAAAAACCTAGCATACAAAATTACACATTTTGGGCTACTGGATGTATCACAGGCACACAGCAGACTGCATTTAAGCCACACCATTATTTTATAAGATTCAACGAGATATTCAAGATGATAACCAATTTCATCACACTAACGACATCATATTTCACAGCCTTGCCACAACCATGTTAAAGTAATGAGCTCTCCAGGGGCCAGATTCCAAGCATTCAGGATTTGAACAAATGCAGAATAATCACTGACTGTCATCGAGTCACTCACTTATTTCATCTCAGCAAAATGTTTTTCCACAGGCTACATGTTCACCCCAAGGTGCACTGGTTCAAAAACCAGAAATGCATGTCCAGACACTGAATGAGTGAACTGAGGGAGACAGTGTCAGGAAAAAAAAACTCCCTAAGAGCATGAGGAAAAACACTGGAATGTCCAGGGGAGGTTATGGCAAGATGGAGCATCAGATGTGGTTAGAAGTCCAGCACAGTTTGGTCATTTTCCTACTTACATACCTGACTCAATTCGGCACCTAACTGCCAGGCTTAGTAGGTGTGTTTAGAGCAGGAAAATCACCAAAACGTGCAGGATACCAGCCCTCCAGGATCATAGTTCTTCACTCCTGTTATAGGAAGCTGGTAATTATCCCACAAGAAGGAGCTGCACATGTCAATGCGTACAAAGCAATCAAGCAGGTTTGGTCCACAGCACTGGTAGAACGGCAGCAGGGTTGAGCGATATCTCAAAAAATATATACTAAAAAAAATTTTCAAGATACATGATCGTCATATTTATTAAAGTGCAGATGCTCAGCCAAGCCTAGCCATATCAGCAGCTAAAAGAAGAGCCAGAAGGTTGTCAGGCATGAGGGCTTGCTGAGATACCAGCATCCCTCCACTCTGTCAAATAATCTGAATGAGCTTGTGAGAGGGACATCAATATCTCAGTTTACCACAACTCTAGATGTCCATGAACCCCCAGATATACACCTTTGGCAGGCTCTTTTGAGCAGAGCTCTCCTGGGAAAGGAGTGGGTAGCGCTCAGGCAGAATAACAGACTATAAACACTGGCAGCTCACAGCTGGTGGAGTTCACAGCATGGTGAACACTGTATTGATTTAGCAAAGAAAAGACACTTTACTGCAACAGAACAGGCAAACAGACTATCATTTTATAGGATAATGCTATTCCAAATACAGTTGTACATTTAGATGCAGTAATTGAGCTAATCTGCAGGCTATTTATATAAATATACTGGGGGCAAAAGAACCATTCAGATAAAAACAACTAACGACAACAAGGGCTGCTTTCAAAGACACAGTATTCAGCGGAGAGGTTTCTTAATTAAAAGCAAAAATGTGTGTGTGTGCCTCAATCAGTTTGCGCACACATTCCCACGTGGCCACAGACCGGCACACCAACAAAAGCCCTGCCTGACTAGCGGACCCTGAGGCGTCGTCGAGGCTAGTTACTGTGACAACCAGTGACAACCAATGAAACTCAGTGATGACAAAGCCATCATGGCATATGTGCTGCTGTAGACCTGCAAAAAAGCACAGGCATACTAGGTAATGTGGAAAAATGTCACTGCTAGCAATTTTAAGATGTTTAAAAATAGCAATAACAATAATATTGGATGATGTAATTTATTATGGTCAAGAATTCAATACCAACAATTAGAGTTAAACAGTGATTTATTTGCTGATATAACTGTCAGGTGTTAAAAATGACTACAACTATAACTAACTAAAAAACCGTGTGATAAAATTGCACACATAATGACATTGGGACACCTTTAGCAACCCAATTAACCTGCCCTATCCTCCATTGCCAACAAATCCATGGGAATTTACATACTGGCCATTTGAATCTGCCAAAAATGCACTGTTTGGGCCCTAACATATACACACCCAAGTACACATACACTGCATGTCAAGCAAGACAAAACATGCCAAAGGCACACATGTCGAAGGAGTGAATGAATGACTCCGAATCAAATGAGTCCCCTGCTGAAAGACACTCTTCATATGGTCTTCACTCATGATGGATGCCTCTCATATCAGGTTAATGTATCATTTGGGCTCTTTATGTCGCAGCTTATTGAAACAGTAAAGATTTGCCACTCTCTTGTGGCAGGCGAGATTCATAAGCTGTCATTTCAGCAGTGAATTTTGCAAAACGTAGGGGCCATTTTTCACCATTATATGGGGTACATGAGGTACATTTGCTAGTAAAGGCCGGGGAAGAGACGTGACATGAAGCTATTAAAACCGAACAGCACAAGCTTGTGTAACAGACGCTCTATCAGTCCAGTACATTGTGTAATAACGCATGTGTGGGTGTCTATGTAGTCCTACACTACGATAGCCTCATTAATACTGTATGACAGTGGTAGAAAGGATGATTGTTCTTTTTAACTGATGTGCAGGAAATGGGTTGAATGTAGGCCACTGGGCTTTCACCCCTTCTCTCCATCTGCCTGCAGCTCTTTCACACTGGCCTCCCAAATGGCCCACAAAGTTTAAGCTATAGTTACCACACAGCCCATGGCCAATGACTGACTGACCTATGGCCTGCTGCTATTCTCTTTCAAACAGCGCTTTAAAAGCTTGTGCCATGCTGGTAACTGTAGATCTCCTGTTATTCTGTCAGCTGCAAAAGGTTAAAAGATAAACTATGATTCTTCACAGTTTCATATGATTCTTAATTTCTTTAGTATTTCTGCTATTGTTTTTATTAAAATATTTTCCTCTCATCTTACACTGAAAGATAATTTAAAGATTTTCCATATTAACACTAATGCTGATGCTCTGAACTTAACTTTAATTACAAATCAAAAGTAGGTGTGGCTTAAATCAGTATGAGGTGCTGGACCTTGGTACATTTATTGACCACAACAGGCTAGTCCAGAAGCGTTGACAATATCAATAGGTTTACTAAATGTAACTTAGACAACCAATCAGCAGTCTACATTTTGGAATAATAAGGCCAATTCGTTCACGGAAGCTAATAAGGCTGACTGCTGAGGTACTGAAATTTGGTATTAAATGAAATTTTTTTTTTTTATATATAATTTTTTGATACTCCTAATATTGAAGAAAGGCACCCAGCTCCAAAAATAACTTAATGTCTGCGAAGTTTTTTTTTGAGAACTGCATTTAATGACATTTTTATTGTATTATTGTTTTTTTTTCCTCGGGAAATGTCAAGTGAATCCAATCCCAGGACATTTTATGCAAATACGACAACAAACCAATCAGTGTACTCCCTCAGAATCTGGAGTGCATACTCTATAAACACCAGCTGATATGATATACCTCAAGATTTCGCACAAGCTTTGGACAATGTCTGAACACAGTGTAGAATCCTTGAGTAAACTACCTCAACTAATCGCAAAACAAATGTGATTGTTCAGAAACAGATAGGGTTAGGACAACACTGGTAGTATGTGTGAGCATAAAGACGAAAGTAAACGTGAGTGCAAATACGAGAGGAACAAACAAAAAAGTCATGCAGACTGAGAAGTGTCTATATACACATAGGACAGTGATGTATAAGAGATTAAAGCAAACTTATAATGCTAGCAGATCCACAGCAAGACTGTTTTAAAACACAGAGCTATTGTTCAGAAACAGAAAGAGGAAGAGAAATGGGCAACGTGAGCTCGTGAGTGAATCTGTGTCTGTGTGTGTGCGTGAGAGAGAGAGTTATGTGTTCATGTCCATCTTCTTCTAGGAGACAACTGCTTATTATGCACACGCAGAAATCAATCACGGCACAAAACACTCAAGAAACAACAGCTCGCTTCCATCAATAAGCCTTAATATTCAGACAACTACAGCAGCTACAGTGGAGTAAAGAATAAAAACTGTACACTGCTGTACAGTGAGGTTGGATGCAAGATAAACCACCAGCATACGAAAGGATAAAGTCAAAGAAAAACAAGCGAAAAAACAGGAGTTTCCAAAACATTTAAAATGATTAAAAGATACAGAGAAAATGAGACTCCTAACAACCGACAGACCACCAAAACTGACACCATCAGATAAACGGTACTTAAAGCTTTCATCTTTGAGAAAGAAGAGAAAATGAAGCTCCACTCTTGTATTAGAAGAATATTCACACGTGTTTGTGTCCATCCTTCCATCCTTCTGAAAGGGTGTGTAGCAGTCAGGAAGCTATCCAGCTTCAGTGAAAACAAAATGCTCCTTAAGCATCATTTAATTTGTTTCACCAACTGTGGTGCTTTTTTTTTTGCAGGAATTGCAGCTGGTTCAATATGGCCCACACAGCCAGTGACACAATCACACATACTTTCATAACGTGGGGGACATTTTCAAGCCAGAAAAGTGGCTATATTAACTGAGTTACAGCAAATATTTTCATTTGGTTTGAAGAACATGTCCACTGAGAGAGACCAGGACAAGCAGAGAAGATGAATATTTAACAGCATTACACAGTTATGAATTATGAGTTATACATCAAAGAATTTCACCCCATAGTTTCCTTCCTCAGCGCCCAACACTCACTCTTA